GAACATTCTCAACTGGTTAATGTGATACAAGTTGATATTCCAACTCGGACATTTCCGTAATTCTATCGTCGAAATTATATATATGTATATATACAATATTCTTTGCCATGTAAATTTAAATGACTGTACAATATGCGAATTTAAGAACGCTTTTATTCCTTTGTTTGTAATGAAGTTACCTATTTTTTTAAGGTTTATCTTGTCAATTCGGGAATAATTACTTAATTTTTTTTTAACTAGATGACTAATAGGATGTTCTTATCTAATTAAAAGTCACTGTTATTTATCTATTGTACTAAAATTTAATATTTCAGATCTTTTTTATGTCTATAGGGTGTTCCGAAATTTGTTGCCAAGCTATTGTATAGATGAGGACTAAATTGAGTTGAAAAATTCTCTACTATTTTGCAATTTTCGCAATAGTCAACAAGATATTATTAAAATTTGCCGAATATTGGTCTTCAATAATTTTTTTCTCAAATATTATCAACTTTACAGAAAAATTGCAAGAGAAAAATTGTTTATTTTCTTCTCATAGAATTCTAAGAATTTTTTCAGAATTTTTTATCAACTTTTTAATACTGCAGCACTGCATTTTTTTATTGGCAACTATTTTTACCAATATGAGAAAACACATATTAAAAAATTCTGAAAAAATTCTGAAGAAATTCTCAAAACTTATGAAAAGAAAATAAACAAATTTTGTCTCGCTGTTTTTGTAAAGTTTAAAGCTGATTTGAATAAAAAATTATTGAAAACCAATATTCAGCAATTTTTAGTAATTCATATCTTTAAAATTAAAAATATATAAGGAAACGGCTCAAGTGATTAACAATCAAATATATAAAAACAAGAGCTACGAGCCAAAGAATACATTTAATAAATCAATTTTAAAAAGACACACTTCACACGAGGTCTCAACATAAAATTTTCAATATTAACATAAAAATCACTTTAGTAAAAAGTTAAAATTAAACTGAAATAAAAAACATGTAATATATGCGATAAGTAATTATTCAATATGTTACACGTTTTTTATTCCAGTTTAATTTTAACTTTTAAAGCGATTTTTAACATTGAGAATAAATATCATGTAAGGTAGAAACGTTAGTGTCTTTTTAAAATTTGTTTATTAAATTAATACCTTGTTAACTATTGCGAAAATTGCAAAATGATAGAAAATTTTTCGACTCAATTTAATCCGCTCTATCTACACAAGAGTGTTTGGCAAAAAAATGTCGAAAAACCCTGCATATATTTACAATATAAATATTGTAGTAAATGTATACACATATACTATTACAATATTTTTCAAAAAAGTAAAAAGAAAAATAAAAATAGAATTCTCGATTAGAGTATAAGGTTCGATCAATAAAGAAAAACTATTATATCTAACTGTAAGTTTTATTTTCTCGTTGTTAAGATATAAAAATCATAATAAGATGTAAATACTCCAGGTGACTGATTTAAAAGTTTTTTGCTGGTAAATAAATTATAAAAGTTATCTATAGAATATTATTCTCTTCTATATTTTGCAATACATAAAAATGTATAATATATTTTGCAACAGATTTACAGACTTTAGAAGAAGGATCTTTTCTCTGTAAAAGAAATCTATTCAGTCGAAAGAAACTATTCAGCAACTTTAGGAGAGAGTTGCCAAATACGTACGTTAAAATGTGGCTAACATTCACACAAAATAAGACATATATATCCTATTAAATTTTTGTTCATGTTACTCATTTCTTATTTATTTCATATTTTTGTTACTAAATGTTACTTTATTAAATAATAATTTAAAATATTAATACGATTTAGACGATCAGTGACATTAGGCAACTCTACCCTATTTCTACTTTTATCTCGAGTTGCAATAACAACGTACATATGCTAATCTCATGCTTCGCAGTTTATTGTTTATTTTAGCTCAGTGACCTGTCGATGTTAATGAACTTTACATCTCATGAACTGTCGAAAAAAGCACGTTCATGATAACGGTAGCAAATTTCACCGTTTAGTCCGAGTAGTTTAGATTTTTCCATTACTCATATCCTTTGACTTCCCATACCTCTACGAGACAGATATTTATTTGTATCGTATCGGTGAGAGGTAATAAATAACCGGGAAGTCACGGCCTCTCGCCGGCGCTTTTGTGTAATGTATGTAAAATCTACGTATGTACGACCGCGAGAGAAATGTGCAAGAGGAGTATTCCTTTTTAGTATCGTTTGAATTGAGATTAAAATTTTTTGTTACGAATATACTTTTGAATGCACGAAGCTATTGTTACCTGTACTCTTGAACGCGCGAAACTTTTTCTGCGTACATCTTTGGATGCGCAAAACTTTTGTTGCATATACACTTTTGGACGTATATTCCTTTTTAAGCAGCCACGTTCAGTTGAATCGAGATAAAAGACAACCGAGAGAGAGAGAGAGAGAGAGAGAGAGAGAGAGAGAACATCGCGTCTGACCCTGAACTCGCAATACGGGATCACTAGTAAACTCGACTCGATCGATCTTTTTATTTATCATGTTTAAACAATTTCTGTTTTCAACAAAGATATTCTTAAATTGTGCGGTCTGAAGAAGAGTAGTTTTTTTTATAACTTTTAAAATCCACAAGCAAAAATGTTCTATCATGGTTTTTGAGAAAAATGAGGTTGAAATCTCAAATACAGAAATATTTCAATAATTTTTGAAAATTCACTGGTAAACCTGATATACTTCAGACTTCGAAAAGAATTCAAATTAAAGCTTGAACATTGTATCTATTTTAAAATAAAAATTAATCTTTTACTACACACACGTACACGCACACGCACACGCGCGCGCACACACATTGAACTTTTAGTGCCTTTTCATTTTAGGGACAAACATATGTGTAGCTTAGGATAACAGGATTGCATTTAATATCATAGAAAATTATAATAAGATCAAGAAAAACCGTGAAAAGTGAGAAAATCATTTATTAATTTAAAATAAAATAATTATAAAATATCAATTCTAAATTTAAACTTTTTCTTAATGATTAAATATATAATTTTTTAAATTATTTAAGAAAGTAAATATTTTTTTGATTTTTCAATTTTGCAGTGTGAACAATTTATAGAAAGCATTAATAGACATAATTAAAAAGGAAAATTATAATAACGTCTTTGGACATTCGATGATGTCTGTAATGAAAGATTCAATATATTTTTTTAAAATACAATATTCAAACTTTAATTTGAATTCTTTTTGAATAAGTTTGTAATAGGTTTACTAATTATATTAATTTTTAAAGGTGTTTCAAGACGTGTTCTTTTGGACTTTTAATCTCATTTTTTCGAAAATCTGTTATGATCAATTTAGAATATTTTTTGTTTGCTAATTTGAATTTAATGTGTCAAAGACACATTGTAAAAGAACACTTTTCTCTTTTTCAGACTGTGGCAAAAGAGCTAAAATTTGTAACTCTATTATTCTTCTCGGACTTGTTAAAATTTTGTTTCTAAATCACGTCCGGCACAATCCCAATAAGGAACGTTATTTCGATACAATCCCAATGATTCAATCCCTGAGGTATTTATGCTGCAGGTATTCGTTCTGTTTCGTAAACCGAAGGGTTTAAAGTATTGTAATAACTAACTGTTTTATCTGTTTAAGCATTTTTACGGTTCCTTTTGAAAGAGAATTTGTCTTAGTAAGTTTGAGAACTTTTCAACACCTGTTTTAGAGCAAGTAGTATTTTAGGGGCTTTAATAATTATACGATGAGTCAGACTATTGTTAATTTGAATCTTTCTTTTACGCTTTCTAGCATCATAATGCGGTCCCGTCAGTATCTTTTAGACCTTCAGAAGTTGTCGACCTCTTTGTGCCAGAATAGACGAGCGAATATACGGGGCAAAAATTTATTTTGTGATTCATTCTACGAAATCGTACATTTCGGTCTTGCGACATTACTTCCCCTTGTAAATGCGCATTCAAAGCATTTAAAAGATCAATGGAGTTCCGTCGGAATCATTTATGAGCAATTCATGTAACATGTATTGCGGATGTTGTGAATATAAATAGTTAAACGCGTCGTTTAAATTAAAGTAGAACTGAGAGGAAAGATATTGAAACTAAACGTACGAATGTTCTTAAAAGAGAAGTACATTGTGTACATATTTGTGCTAATAATTTTATTTAGCGTTTTATATATGGAATAATAGATAAATTTTGGTGCCTGCGGCGATGACTTTTCTTGTAAGAAATTAAAATATTTTTTTAAAAAAGTTATATAGTTATATATGCAGCAAATGCATATATAAAAAAGTATTTGTATAGGGGAGATTTTCATAAAAAAAAGCTTTATTTGTAGAAAATATTAATTAGCAATTTATTAATGAATACATTTTGTCCTAAACAAAAGAGCTTCATGAAATAATTATATTCGTAATCTTAAAGCTAAATTTTTTTATTATGTACGAATATTTTTTGTATAAATATAATTTTCCATTTTCGCTCATTATTTAGATAATTGTTTTTTTTAATCATTACATATCTTTTTAAATAAAATAATTTTGAAGAATATAAAGTCTATTTTATTCTTTGTAATTAATTATTAATTAATATTTACTTTTTAAAAATAAGGTTCTTTAAAAAAAAATATTTTCCCTATATAAATACTTGTTTCACTCATTGTATATTAAAAAATTAATATAAACGGTGCTTTTAGTAAAGCTTTAAAAAAGAAATATGTAATTTACAAGACTCAATGTTTACTTTTTTTAAATATAATATTCTATTTTAATAAGGATTTCTAGAGAGGAACGGAGAAAAAAAATGTGGGATATTTATTGAAATATTGAATCTTAAACCAGGTAAATCATAAATCAGAGCATATAAAGTGGTCGATTAGATTTTCGGAGAAAGATTATTTCTATTTTTAATAAAGGCCGATCAGTTTGCGTTCGTTCAGCATATCGTTTCTTATCGAACACTCAGTATACTTGTACTTTGGCCATGTCAAGAGATGTACGAGGACAACATCTCAGGAAGACAAAAGAGTCAGGAGAGCGTAGATTCGACACGAGTTCGCAATACCGTTATACCGGGAGCACTTGAAGCGTTTTCAGGTGATCGCACTGCCGCGCATCAGCCGCTAGATAGACTCGTTTTTCTGTATCGTGTTACAATAACGGAGTGGCGACAACTGTTGCGCGGACAACTGCCTTTCGGAAGAGGGTCCCACAATAGGTCGACGATAATACGGTTTTCACCCGGATAAAGCAACCATTCTGAAGTGAGAACTCTGGCCGAACGCTGGCCGGAGCGGTGACTAACGAGAGAACAAAAAATATTGTGACGACGTAAAAATGTCTAGGGATATGAATAATAAATTTACGTTTTAATTTACGTCTCTTTTTAGAAAATAATACTGAAAATAGCGGAGAAATCGTTACAGAATTCGATGCTTTAAATATTGGAGAGTCGAATTTCGTTCATAGTTCTCTGACCTAAAAAAACCTAATCCATATAAAAAGAATTGCTACTTGATCACCATTTCTGACGTGAGAATTTAATTTTTATTAACAAATTTAATTCAAGAGTCTCTTCAGAAGAAAAATGATATTATCCTTAATCTGGAAATATCAGGAAGATCATAGAATCAGATTTTAATTCTAGAGATTTAAATTCCGTCAATAGGTTTCTTGTCGAATTTGTGTAAAAAGAATTGTTACTCGATCGCCGTTTCTGCGATGCGAGAGTTTAGCTTTCATTAGCAAGTGTTTAACGCGCTCTTTTATGACGGTTTTCACTTCCTGAGGTAGGAGAGACGCGGCAAGTAGGTCAGACGCGAAATATACATTTTCGCATTATATTGTACATTGATTACAAATCGGTAACGATCTTAAGATATAAAAACGAATTTTTGTATTATATATCTCGTATGACACACTTAAGTAGAAACACGTTCGACATGTATATTGTACGTGAAGAAACATTTTACGTGATGTCCCAGAATTACTGAGAAGCAGAATATTATATAAGTGTCGTAAAAATTTGAAATTCGATTTTCGCAAAAGTGTCGACGGGGCATCGTTTTCCTCCTTTGACATCTGTGATCATAATAGGTATTTAAATTTCGAAGATCTTCCAGAATCTAACGCGCTTTATTATTCAGCCTGTGAAGCTTAAATGTCGCGAAGAAGCGCATTATTTGCAAAGCTTGTAACTCAAAAGGCATTAACACCGAATATACTTTCGCTGACAAAGATCAACCGGAAATTTCACGAGAGACGAATGCTTACGTGTCCATGATTCCGCCGATTCTGGGGCACCTTGTGCAAAACGCTGTGTCAAGCGAAGTTGAGAAACGGCGTGAAACGGAACGGCAAACGCTATGTGAAACACTGACGTGGCGTTCGCATAATAGGCTTCTTTTTTGTTTACTGTGTCTCAATAATCGTACATAAAAGATCGACGTTATGGCGTTCTTCATCTCCATTCTTCATGGATGCATGCACTTTCTCCACGAACGTGCAAATGTAATCCTTCGATTATAGAAATATCGCTGACTCGGTTTCGTCTGTCTGATTCCTTTCAATTCCACGATGGATTTTCGCTATTTGATCGCTATAAGATCTGTTGCACATGAAACCGATAAATCTAATAACGCTTCCAATTGGCCCTATAAAAAGATCTTTTAATTGTTAGAAAGATACATACTTATATTCGAAAAGGAGTAAATCGATGTAAAAGATAATTTTATATTCAAAGAAAGATAGATATATCGAAGAAGAAAAACATAATTTATTCATGTATGCGAATCTATTTTTTTGTCTTTTTTTTGTAGCTGTTTAAATTTTCAAAAATATAGTTTTATTTTTAGAGTGAAATAGTGTTAAATATGCATAATTGAAATTATATTAACATGATAATACTCGAGTAGTTACGCGGCATTTTATTCGAATTAGCTGATCTAATCTAATCTGATCTAATCTAATCGAACACTGGCAATGCGTGATAAACGATTTCCGATGCAATTTTGACAGCAAGTTGACATGAAATTACCTGTAGACAAATTAATTTTTATTATATTTTTACGTATATTACACACACACAACACACACACCCAAAAAAAAGAGAAGAATAATTTTATTGAAGTATTTAAAAGTTAGATATAAAAGACAGTTTATGTTTAGTAGTATATTGAAAAAAGAAAGTTACATTTGCGTAGAAAGTTACATTTCACCTTCAATACGTATAAAAATATCTTTAAATTAAATAATTTTATTAAAATATTTCTGATTAAACAATTATTTTTACATTACAAAAATCATTAATGGTGTGTCCTCGAGAAAACAGAGTTTGATTATTTGTTACTTGATACGAAGTACGAACGACAAAGCAATAACAATTGTATGATATGATGACCTATGATATATATATATATATATATATATATATATATAATTCTTATAATTCATATTAAATATATTATGAATATATAATAATCATTTTATATTCTTTTACAATACAATTAACATAATACATAAAATAATATATCTTTCATATCAATAGTATATCTTTTATACATTATTAACATAGAAATAATTTATAAATAGTAAATCTTTTGTACATTATTAACATATATATGAAATATCTAAAGTAATATAATTCGTTTTTATATATTATTAATATGTCATGTAAAATAATATATTAATAGTATGTCTTGCTAATTCACTCTTCTCTTTTCTTTCTTTTTTTCGTTTTTCTCTCTTACTTCATATAATATAATTTTTAAACGTGTCACTGAAATTATAGGAAAGATTTTAATAAAGCATACGAAGATCAGACTTTTGATCAATAAATTCTTACATTCTATTTCCAGCTATACTTATCGAATATTCTTGACAATATCCCTTGTAATAATATTGTGTTTAACATTATCGAATATTTATGGATAAATACGGATGATAAGGACGACGCAAAAGTGAAAGTACAAACGTGTATGACTGTTTTCTTTCGTGAAAAATGCGTTTTATGCGCATTTATGTGTTGCATGTCGAAAAATTTTCGTCTAAAACTTGATTAATCATGTGCTTGAATCGCTACGTTGGCAAATTTAATGACGATCATGTAAATTTAGGTCACATTTAGTCAGCGTTATTATTTATTTATTTATTTATTTATTTAGTTGTATTTACATTTACGGATCGAGTTTAGTTTTGTTTAGTTTTGATTAGTGTATTTATGTCAAAAGAATTTTAAATCTTGTTTTCGCCGAGATAATTAAAATTGCTTGAAAAATATTTGTTTATCCGCGTGTCGCTTGAAATATGATTACTGGTGATTATGATATTAACGAGAAAGACAAGATGCTCGGCACAAAACCGGGACGCGCGTAAACGATTTAATTTATAAGAGCCCTGGTATATACGAGCGAGAGAGAATGGAGCGAGAGAGGTCAAGAACCCGGTACTTCTTCGCTCTATCTCAAGACGCGTCCGCAATTCTAGTTTTGCAAATGTACTCTTAAGCTCACTTCAAACGATCTATAATTCATTAGGTTTCCGAATAGAATTGCAATTTTATTTTATATTTTATTACATCTCGACATGTATAATTTAATGTACATTTTTTACACTGTTGAATTTCTGTTGTACAAATATTTTTTGTAATTTTTATACATACAATTTTTTAATAAAATTTCTAAACACTTTTGATCCTGTAATACAAATTTTTTGAATAATTTAATTTTGTATACATGATATTTTAATAATGAAGTCCACTTTAGATGATATGTAATTTATATTAGAATTGAGGATATAATAATCTATTTATTGTGCATATAAATTTTGTGAATAATAATGGTTTTATGTACGTAATAGGAAAAGCATTTCAATAATAAAGTTTACTTTACATGTAATTCTGTAATTTATGTTAAAATTGAGAATAGTAATTTGTAATTTCGTGTGCTATATAATACGAATAATGTTTGAAGAATCGAAGATATGTTTATCAAAATATGTGATACATAACATTGTTAAATTCTGTTCTGAAATCTGATGCGAATTATAGAATTATCGTCTACACTTTATTTATTATCGGATTATTCTCTACAAGGCGACATACATTATTAAATTTTACTTGAAATTTTTATGGATTTCGAAACGTAATTTACTCCAGTTTCTTTTTATCGACGATATATATTTCTTCTGTTACATCAATAATTTATTGAGTAATGTCTCGATAATATTTATAATCCGATAGTTAATCTGAGAAAAATCTAAATAAGCTGTTTGATAATTTTTGTGAAATACGATTAGCATAATTTTTACAGTTTATTTATATTATTATTTCTCGAAAACTGAGAAAGATTATCGAAAATAATTTGCTCTTTGGCAGAAAATCTCCGATTATCTCTATTTCTTTTTTCTTGAGGAGATATTATAATACAATATATAATTAAATATATAATTAAATATATAATTAAAAAATAATCCTATAATTTCTATTTTGTATATGTTTATTAATAACAATGCATTTTCAGCATTAATTTGCGATTTGTTTAGGTGTTCTTCGCAACATAGATATGTGAACTTGATAGAAAAATTCTCACTATTTTACATCATGTCTTTCGACATTTTAAGTTTCTTAATATCGCGATAATATTAGCGTTTTCCTGCTATTGTTCTCAATTGTTAACGTTATAAAATTACGAAAATTGGAGTTGCATCGTTGGCCATTAGCAGTTAGTTTATAAAATATTTATGAAACATTTAAAAAAACTGTTTAAATCTTGACATATATTTATTATAATCTTTATTATAAATTATAATTAATATGCGTTGCCGAAGATTTTCTGCAATCTTCGATTTTTAAAAATATTTAAAAAAATTAATTTTATTGGAATAAATAAATTTGCATAATATTGAATTTTATTTTATTTGTAGATATATACTTTGTCAAAGAAAATAAATAATAAAACAAAATATATTCATAAAAATGGTTTAAAAAATGCAATTTTCATTTTTAAATTTCATGCAACGTCATTTTTAAATTTCATACGTTGAATATATAAACATATATTTATTTTTATTGGATTTTTAAATATGTTAATTTTTCTAAGATGAGTGGAATGGGACTTCTTTTCGGATTTAGATAATTCGTTTTGAGAATGCTCTACGAAATAATTATGATATATTTTTTTTGCCCTTGCACTTAATTTTTAGACGTTTTTATAGTACTTTTGCCATAAAATAATTACGATGTGATTAATTATAGTGTTATAATGCATATTTTATTTGTTGATTTTAGAATAATGATTACTTGAATATGTTAGGTTTTCTCAAACGAGTTTATATGCTTTACTACAACTCATTGATTCCATATATACAGCGTGATTAATCGGAAAACAACGATGTGTGCATCGATACGATAATACACATTGTGCTCGGTGTGATATTCTTAGTCACGTTTATTTGCGCTCCGATTACGTAGCTGATACAATAAGAGCAAACGTCATTAAGTATATGCGCATGTAAAATAAAATATGTTAATAAAAAAATTTAGGCATGATATATTCCACGACAGAGACTGCGTATATAATAATTAAATGTCAATGATTTTGTTCTCAATTAATTTTAATTTATTAATGAAAAAGTGTAAAACGCTACGAATTAATTCCAACACCTAATATATATATAAGTATCATCCTGTATTTTGATTTTTTTGTAAAATCGCATATTCTAATATTTAAAGATGTAAACATTAATATTTTGTTACAGTATCCAATGACGACTGTACTTTACGATCCCAGTTGTAAGAAGGAACCATCTACGGGAGCATCTACGCAATACGGACAGGAGAAAGAAATCTGCATGAAACTGTTCGAAAGATGGAGCGAATCAGAACAAGTGCAGTTTGTCGAACACCTGTTAGCACGAATGTGTCATTATCAGCACGGACACATCAACGCGTATTTAAAACCGATGCTGCAGAGAAACTTTATTTCACTTTTGCCGAGTAAGTAATCATGTACGCTCAACATTTTTTTACACACTCTTTGCGCGCGTTTTGAATGATATTCCTAATTGCATCTTTAACAACTTTAACAATATCAAATGAATGATTTACAGAAAAAGGATTGGACCACGTGGCAGAAAATATTCTGTCTTACCTTGACGCAAAATCACTTGTTTCTACAGAACTAGTATGCAAGGAATGGCATAGGGTTATTAGTGAAGGAATGCTTTGGAAAAAACTGATTGAACGTAAAGTTCGAACGAATTCAGTTTGGAGAGGTTTAGCTGAAAGGAGAGGATGGTGAGTGAAAATTTATGATATAAACTACATGTATATAAACTACAAAACTTATGACAAACAAACACAAATGTGATACGTACACAAAGCATTTTGACATTCTGACATATAAAATGTATGTAAAATATTTCTTTATATTTTCTTTTTATTTAATTTGTGAACTTTACTTTCAGGATACAATATCTTTTTAAACCGAAACCAGGCGAGGCCCATCCCAATCATAATTTCTACAGATCTCTTTACCCAAAAATTGTCAAAGACATCGAAAGTATGGAGAACAACTGGAGAATGGGTCGATTCACTCTTCAAAGAATTAATTGTCGTAGTGAGAACTCTAAAGGTGTTTATTGTCTGCAATATGACGATCAGAAGATAGTTTCCGGACTTCGAGACAACACGATTAAGATCTGGGACAGAAATACTTTACAGTGTATCAAGGTGTTGACAGGCCATACGGGTTCTGTGCTTTGTTTACAGTATGATGATAAAGCTATAATATCCGGTTCCTCAGACAGTACCGTGAGAGTTTGGGACGCTACTACAGGCGAGATGGTTAACACATTAATTCATCATTGTGAGGCAGTACTGCATCTTAGATTTAACAATGGCATGATGGTAACTTGCTCAAAGGTCAGTCAAAAAGAAGCGATGAATTTTTACATGTTTTCTAATTTTCATTTAGTTGGATTTCATTACTAACAATAATTATCATTTGCAGGATCGTTCTATAGCAGTCTGGGATATGACATCGCAGACAGAAATTGCATTGAGAAGAGTATTAGTAGGGCACAGAGCAGCAGTGAACGTAGTTGACTTTGATGAGAAGTATATTGTTTCTGCCAGTGGTGATAGAACTATCAAAGTATGGAACACCTCTAATTGCGAATTTGTGCGAACGTTGAACGGACATAAACGCGGCATAGCGTGTTTGCAATATAGAGATCGCTTAGTAGTTAGTGGCAGTAGTGATAATACTATACGACTGTGGGACATCGAGTGCGGCGCTTGCTTACGTGTTTTAGAAGGGCACGAAGAATTAGTGAGATGTATTCGATTCGATAGTAAACACATCGTCAGCGGTGCTTATGATGGGTAGGTAAATCAAAATCCAAATATCTCAATTCTGATTTTAATTCTACGTTTGCAACGTGAAATCATAGCTATAAGCAACTAGAAAATTTATATATGTATATATGCATCACACGCACACGCGTGCGCGCGCGCGCACCTATACTTATTATAAAATATTTTATTCCTATTTTTTTTAGAAAAATAAAATATAATTTTTATTTTTATAACGTATTATATTTAATATACATAAGAAACAAAAAATAATTCTACATTATAATTGATATTCATATTAAATTTTACCCTAATAATTTAGAGTGGAATTGAAAGATGCATTTTGCTTCAAGAATGCATTATAATTTTACAAATTTGTGAGTAATTAAACTCATATTTATTATTGTATTTTGCAGAAAAATCAAAGTTTGGGATCTTGTAGCCGCTCTTGATCCTCGTGCTGTTGCTAGTACTTTATGTTTACGCACTTTAGTGGTAAGATATTTTTGTACGCAAGCGTATGTTCTTATTTCTTATATATATTATATTTAATCAACAATTTGTCAAGCGCTTCACTGAATGACAATTTTCATTCATTGCTAATTTTATTTATATTTCTTATTATAGGAGCACACCGGGCGTGTGTTTCGTCTTCAATTTGACGAATTCCAAATAGTTTCATCATCTCACGATGATACGATACTAATTTGGGATTTTCTTAATTACAATCCGTCAAGCGGAAGTGTATGCAGTGGACGCCTGCCGATGGATGGAGCGCCGAACCAAGCCGATACTAGATCTCCTTCCCGTAAGTATGCTACCAAAATTGGAATTTTTAATATACACTGAGAAAAATTTCTGATTAAAAATGGATGAACCAGAAAATTTTGATATCAATCAAAATTCTCAATTAGAATTATAGATTCAAATTTCAGAAAATTCTAATTTGTTTGTCTTGAATCAGAATTTTAATTAATACAACCAGATTCTTTTTCCAGTGTATATTAATTAGCGCCGAGACATTATTGTGTAGATTAAATATAAAAATTATTAAATATAAAAAATATTCTTATTTGCAGCATTTGAGTGACGCATCAATACGGAGATTCCTTTATTGTGATATAATTGTAAGTATATTTTATGAATTATCGCTTGCAGGTAAGATTTAGAAGCAATTTATTTAATATAATAAATACACAATAATTCTAGTAAATACAATATAATAATTCTAGTAAAAATATATGAAAAAATAAATTCCGCAGAATTAATAACAATTGATTTTGTATTTCAGACAAGTGGTTAGGTGAGTGAATCCAATGTGTTCACAACAATGTGCGCAAACAATGAAATATCCGATGATGAGTGTTTAATGTAAACAACAGCAATTATACATAGAAATGTCTGAAGGAAAAATTTGGTTGATTAATGACTTTGATTTATTGTTTGCTAGGAGAGCAAAAAAATTTTTCAAGAAATAGGAAAGTAAAATGGACTGACTTACGTGAAACTATGAATTATAATTTATATATGCGCTTGACGCACCGCGTTTAGGAACAAACAGTATATTTAAAGCTGCATAAATACATCCCATGGATGTAAACGATTGTCGTCTGCTTTGGCCATATCTGGAATTCTTCTACGCTCTGTGACATGATAGAAGTCAAGACCATTTTCCTACAAAATGAAAAAAAAGAAAGATTTACAATACGTAATGTAGCGAAGCGTTTTTAGGGAGGCTGGATATTACACTTAATAAGACATTAGATGTATTATAGTAAAAGAAATTAATGATTTTTTATATAATTAATTTATGAGATAAAAAAAATTGTAAAATGTTGTTTGATTGGAGTACTTACGTTGTGTGAATGTGTAAAAAAAATTGTTACATGGGAGGATTATCGTGTTACACCCTCTTTTAAATGGCTCGTACAAAGTGTTATGTACCCATGTTTAAAATTGCGAAAGAAACTATTGATTGAGTGTATAATAGTTTTTTAACATTTAAATTTTGTGAAACTTATTTAAAAAGCGAGTGAAGAGCCGACAACCTCTGCACAGCCTACATTTGGTATGATACCATTTGCATTTAGAATATAAAAATTACTATTGCAGAATGTAAATATTATTATCATTATTATATTCATACCGAAACAAATATAATGTGCGATCCTGAAATTATCTTAATTATTGTAAAAAAAGAAAAAGAAACACTATTATTATATCTTGACCATTGATCTCGTTTAACTCATTTTATTCATGCTTTGTACACGTAAGTTGCTCATTTTTATATTTATCTAAATTGTCAATCGAAAATGTGAATTGTTTTTTATTTTTAGGAGTTTAAATTTTTTGCAATTTGGTATTTCACTGAAATTAATAAAAAAAATACTCTTTAAATATAAAAAAAAACTTTAATTACAAATAAACTTATTGCTTATTTCAATTTATGTACATAACTGAGCATATAGCATATATAGTTTAAATGACATCATCATGCCCAAATGATTGTGATATTATAAAGCGATTAATGTGTTTTGTGAACAACATTTATTAATATACATATATATATATATATATATATATATGTACGCAATATGCGTATTATATGCATAAGATGCAACTAATGTTTTATAATATACACAATACTTTGAGCGTAAGTAAAGGCAAAACGTTTTTGAATATTTGATATTAAATAGTATACAGTGTTAGTATAACTATATGAAAGTAAGATACTAGAGAGAGAGAGAGAGAGAGAGAGAGAGAGAGAGAGATGGAAGGAGGGAGGGAGGGAGGGGATGAAATACCGAATTATGTTTTTCAAATATGCGTGAATTATGGTCAGTAGAAAATGCCACGTAATCGCTTACGAACTGTCTGTTAATAAATATGAGTTATCCAGAACAAATTGTCACAGAAAATAATAATACATATTTCAAATTGTAATATTACAATGATTTGAGTGTTTCAATCCTATAATAAGATTATAGAAAAATATTTGCATTTTGATTTCGATACGTATAATTTCGTGACGTTCATCTCAAAATTTTATACGAAATGTACTATGTATACAGAATGAATTTACATATTAATGCGCGTGGAAGGCAATATTAAATTTACATTTAAAATACACAAAATTTGTTTACTCTTGTAACGCATAACTAAAGAGGAAAAATGAAATATATACAGATACAACGTATATTTGTACTCAATTCGTTCGTATAATGTTTCTATAAAAAGAAAACAAGAGAAATTAAGGAGTTGCCTACAAACTGGGTACAAACTTAAGAACTTGAAAAATTAGTACAATTGGATGGGAATTTGTATAATTTTGAAGTATATACATATAGATATGTATGTGTGTGTGTGTGTGTGTGTATATACATATTATGTATATATGCATACATAATCATACGGTATCAATGCACAAGCAAGCATAATTTTGTGGAGTACGGCATACGTAGATTCTTGTGTTTACGATTTGTTTCAATGAATAGACAAAATAATAGTGATTGTAGTCAGACATTAACATACTCTTGCATTATATGAACATAGAATGTTCTTCATCATTTTTTCGCTATTTGATAATGCGTATGTAGGTATTATCAAAAGATATGATTGCTTATACCGTGTCTTCCTAATTATGATACGGAAATATTCTCCTATCTTTTATCTTTTTTTATTGAAATCTAAGAGATCTTAAGGTGGAAAAGTCTGCTGCATCTTCTACAAAAATATATATCTATCGAATTAATCTTCGAAAAAATCGAGCAAGAAATAAAGAGTGTAAAATAGAGTCAAATATCTGGAGATATAAAATATCGGACGTAATAGTTAAGAAATTACATGAATTTATACCTTATAAGAGCATCGTGACACGCACTGCGATCAGATCGCAACGTGAGCGTTTGCGATTGTCGAAAATACCAGTAAAAATACTTTTAAGAAGATATTGTGATGCTTTATTGTTAATATCGACATGAATCTTCGTGTATGAGAATAACTGACTAGAGAGGATACAAAGGCTGTGCAAAAGCTATATTCGAAATATAATACCTACACAAGAATATACAGGATTTTTTATAAAATCCATTATCTTATCCTTCTGCAATGATGTATATTTAATCATGCTATGAAATTCTATAGTCGAGTTCAATAATAAGTGAAAATAAGTCAAATGTATTACACATAAATTGCTTAGTTTTTTAAATACCGTGGACTCCAATACATACATACATATATATATATATATATGTATATATATATTAGGTGTTGGAATTAATTCGTAGCGTTTTACAAGTGATGGGAAGTACTTTCATTAATGTATTTTTTAATGCTCATGTGAAATAAATAACATTCTTT